ACATATATACAATGGAATATTACTCAGCAACCAAAAAAAGAGAAACACATGTCTTTTGCAACAACTTGGATAGAGTGGGAAAAGATCATGCTTAGTGAGATAAGCCAGAAAGAGAAAGAAAAATACTGGATGGTTTCACTCATAGCGGTATAATGGACCAGGTGAGAAATAACAAAAATAATGAACAACCATATACCAGAGGCATTTTGTGGGGGTGGAGTGGGGAATGGGATCAAAAACGGGGGGGTAGGGAGGGAAGTGCATGGGATAATGCTGATCGCACACGGGTGACTTTGTGATGGGAAACCCGCGGGGATTATAATTGAGATGGAAAAAAAAAGTACAAAATTATGTAAAAATAAACTGTTATAAAATTAAAAAAAAAAACGGGTGGGAAGAGCGCATGAACTATGGTGATGGCACATGGGTAAATTGGTGGTGGGAAGTCCCTGGGGAGTACAACAAAGAAGAAAAAAATGTACAAAATGAAGAATAATGTGTATATATATATCTGTATATATACGTAAATAGTATATATATTATGCACACACATATATACATAATGAGGTCTGCTGTGTGGGAAAAAAAAGAAAATGAAAAGAAAAGCCAAAGAGTGGGAGAAAATGTTTACAAATTACATATCTGATAAAACATTTGTATCTAGTTTATAAAGAACTCTTGGAACTCTAATGGGAACCCAATCAAAAAAGGGAAAATAATTACATATGCATTTTCCCAAAGAATATGCAGAAATGACCAACAAACACATGAAAAGTTAATACTATTAGCCATTAAAGAAATTCAGATCGAATCACAATGAGCTGTCACTTCAAATTCATTGGAGCTCTATAATGAAATGATGGACAAGTGTTAATAAGGATCATGAGAAACTGGAACGCTCAGACGTCTACTAGGAATGTAAAATGGTTCAGTCACTTTGAAAAACAGATTATAGCTCTTTAAAAAGTTATAAATAGTTACCATAACGCACAAATTCATTTGCCCAAGAGAACTGAAAACATATGTCCATACAACACTGATACAGAAATGTTCATACCAGTAATATTCAAATGGCCAAAAAGTAGAAACAGTCAAAAAGTAGAAATAATTCCAATGACTGCCAACTAGTAATTGGGTAAAGAAAATGTGACCTATCCATTCAGTGGAATGTAATAATATTCTATTTATTTAGCAATAGGAAGGAATGAAATAGAAACTACAAATTGAATGAGCCTAAAAACATTATGCTAAGTTGAAAGAAGTCAGACATGTGAGGTCACATATTGTATACTTCCATTTATACACAATGTCCAGAAAGAGAAAAATCTATGCTGATAGATAGCAAATCAATAGTTACATGGGCCTGAATGTGGGATCAGGGATTAACTGCAAATAGACAAGAGGAAACTTTTTGAGCTAATGGAAATATTCAAATACTGAACTGTGGTGACAGTTTCAGAATTCTATAATTTTACTAAAAATCACTGAATTGCACACATGCAGTAGGTGAATTTAATGGGTTGTAAATTATACCTCAATAAAGCTAATTTTAAAATCACTAAATAAATATACATTGAAAGGAAAAAAATCAGGAGAGGAAGGACCAAATACAGGTCTTCATTATGCAGTCTACTCTTGTTTACCTGCCTTTGAAAACTAGTAAGAATACAATAAGTTTTTTCAAGGGGGTTAATGTCATCACAGAGGAACTAAAAATCCTACCAGGTTTTAAAAATACAAAATAAGTCAAAATGTCAGGCAGTACTGCAATTTTGACCTAATTCTTGGTATAGTTGTATTAGAAAATTTCTTTTTTTTAACCATTTCATAAATGCAGGGAAATTTTATATTGTATAAAATACATTGTAATATGAAACTATTTACATAAAATTCTTATGAGAAAGCATTATGCTGTATTATCCCAAATATACAAGACAGTTCAGCCCTTTCAAATTAGCTGAAAGTTTAATATTACTGTTTGACTTACGGTATGGCTAATAAGATTCAGAGCATCTTCAAAATATCCCCAAACTTCTTCCAAGGGACAGAGTTCTGTACTTGATGCCCCATCTGGCATTAAGAGGTTAATCAAGTTATGAATACATTTGCTGAAAATCAAAAAGAGAAAACTCATCCCCAAAGGAAAGAAATCATTGGCTTCATCGGTAAATATATATCCTATATCTCCTCTCTAAGAGCTTCAAAAACACTTCTTTCCTCAATTTCATTTGGGCTCTAACCTTAGAAGACAAATTTTTGAAGTTGTAAAAGGGGCTGATCAATTCTTCCTATTTTACTCCTGTGTTGTCTTTCACTTTATTTTTAATTTCCTGCACTGAAAAATTGTGGTTGTTTACTATAGTTTATGAGTTTGTTTAATCTACAGGGCCTTTAATGAATTTTGTTACATCCTCAAATGGGCAAGGGAATTTGTATTTAAGTTGGGAATAATTCCAGAATTATCTCTCATGTCCCAGAAAAGAATGATTATAACAAAGTTTTCCAGTGAAAAATCATTCATCTATTTTCCACCATGTTTATAGAAAACAAACCCCCCAAAAAGTAATGTATAATGTACAGGATTTATTGATACTTAAAGAAGGTTCTTAGGAAAAGATATGAGATAAATACAGCAAAATGCAAGTATCTGTTAACTTTGGGAGGTGGAAATGGTATTTTTAAATTCGTCTCTCTCTCTCTTTTTTTTTTTTTTTGCACATTCGGCATATATAGTAATGAAACAGTTATTTAGTAATTTTACTACATATACAGACTCACAAAAAGAAGCAACTTTACCCTTTTTCTCCATTGGGAAGATCAGACTCTTGAAAATGATTCCTGGTTTATAGCAATGCTCAAAATGGAATAGTTTTAAAGGCTTTTTATGTCCAGGAGTTACAGGTTTTACGTTGGGCTATTTGCATAAGACTGATGACTTACAGGCACTGACTATAGCCTCCACTAGGTGTTCAACTATATTTACCAACCTGCATTTCAAAACATCAACTGATTCTTTCTTTTTGTGGATCAATAATGCCTTTTTCAAGGCCTTTAGAGCGATGAAAGGATAGTGTGCAGGCATTTCCATTGCTAGTACTTTAGGAAGTGAAGAAGAAAAAAGATGGTGAACACAATAATCTCATATACTACAGTTTTCATTCCAGGCTACAACTTGCTTCTGCTAAAGAAACTGACACAGACCTGACAGAGACTAAAAAAACAAAAAAAAACCAACAAAGTAATCTGATAAAATGATGAGTCAACAGTGACTTTCAGAGATACATTCCACTTTCTGGGTGGAGTAACATGGCAGGACCACGGGTTACATCATTTTTTTCAGCAAACATAAGCATAGAACTTACAGCTTCTGTGACTCTGCCACTAGGAAAGCAATAATCTTATGAGCCAGAGCAATGAACAGTGGCATGTTAAAAATGAACAACAGATCAGGAAAGGTGCACTAATCAGAAACATATTTATAGTGCAATCTATTGTTTTTGTTGTACACTAAAAACAGAAACCGATGTGAGAATAAGTATCAGAGTAATAAATTCTAAAACTTTCCAGATGTATTTATCACACATCTAGAATTGAATACCATTGATAAAGAGTAGTGGTTATACCACAAGTCCATAAAGTATATGCCACCTGCTCCGTGTTTCTAGGTAGCCTGTCTTGGCAAGACAAGGCATATGTGGCCCCTGTGCACTTGGGGCTACCTACTATTCTTGTATTAGCCACATATATGCTTTTGAGGAGGGTGAGAGATAAAAGGGAAGATAATTAGGCCATTTCCTTTAGTGTATCCCTGAAGGTGTTAAATGTGTTAAAAAATTATTACCCATATTTCTCTGTAAACTGTAATAAAGTGCTAAGATTGTATCACCTTTGATTAGTGAAACAGTCAATTACCATTTGCATTTGGCTGAGCAAAAGTGACTCAAGTTTGAGTTACACCTAATGTGTAGTTGAATAATTCAGTTCCAAACATATAATAAATATGCATACCTTTGAGCAATGTCCTTTCCTAGGGTTTATAAATGCAATAAATATAAGTGTATTATTGTTCATGACTTTAAGGAGCTTATACTCTCATATCAAGCAAAAGACTGTACAAATTATTATAAGAAATAGTAAAACAGAATACCATTAAAGAGGGAGGAACAGGGCTATAAGGAAATACTGTTTCTTACCTATCAGTAAGAAAGAACAGAGAGAAAAAAGAAAAAAACAGTAAGATCTAAATGGGTACCACCTTTCCCAAAAACATCAATATAGCTCTTACATGCAACTGTTTCAAAAGTTTTACTTTCTAAATGAGGGAGTTCCCACACTGGCTCCAAGAAGCTGTTCAGTAATGGATCATTCATTTTGGCTTTAATTTCAAATTCATACAGCAGAAGCAATGTCTCAGATGGATCATTTGAGAAGTCCCCTAAGAAAGAAGCAGAAAAGGGAAAACATTTTCTGTGATTAATTTCATTTTCTCTCCCATTCTAATACCTTTTGGAGGGGAAATTTTCCTGTTGAGGAAAATGAGTTTTAGTTACCATTTGAAGGTTATCCCAGCTTCTGCAGATAATTTCTAATTTTTTTTAATGGAAATGCAGTATCTTACATATTCTATTTAGTAATGACTAATATTTGAGAATATAATAATATTAGTGGAAATTAATATATTTAAGTCCAACATTTCTTTGACATTTCAATACATGGTCAAAATCATTATGTCAAAAACTTGTAGCAAATATTTGGTGTTAGTTTACATACAACTCAGTTTTTGGTGTAAAAGAAAGAATATATGGTTTACTTCACCAAAAAGAATCTCTCTTATGTGTGGAGGCTCCTCAAATTACTGAATATGGGTCTACCATATGATCAAGAGATCCCTCTCCTAGGAATCTACCCTAGGATAAAATAACATTAATTCAAAAGGACACCTGCATACCTATGTTTATTGCAGCAATATATACAATACCTATGATATGAAAACAACCTAAATGTCCCCAGATGACGAGATCAAGAAGGTGTGATATAGATACACAATGGAATACTATACAGCAATAAAAATATAAGCTCATGTCATTTGCAGCAACATGGATGGATCTACAAGGGATTATACTCATTAAAATAAATCAAAAGGAAAAAAAAATCAGATGTCTTCACCTAGGGGAGGGATATAGGGAAACTGAACAAAGGGTCAAAAAACAGAAAACTTATAGGCAAACTATAGATCTGAGGCATACTTTACTCTGATCAGGAGTCATTATGCCAAGATAATTATACAAGAAAGGTTCCAGATTCATATATTTACTTCTATAAATGTACAAAAGCATGTATGTTAGGAGCAGGGAGACTTGAATGACATTTTAATTAAATCACACATTTGGGAGTAGGAATAGCACATATCACCATAAATATCTGGGAACCGTAATAAATTGGTCTCCAAACTTGTGAATCCTACTAAATTTCTTCAGTAACTCTACAGCACTGTAATCAAAGTCCTTACTCAGTGCCAATAGGGTTTTAGTTTGTATTATTAGAGTGTGCTGTTGTGTACTGTGGGGGCATAATTCAGATGGAATGCTGACCAAAGAGATTTTTTAGGAGCAACTTTTATCATGGACAGTTAGGTATCTCCATATCATTGTTTAATTTTCCATAGTGAAAAAAATAAATCATAGCTCCTTTGCTTGGAGCAGGTAGCAGTTGTGGCTTGTGTAGCTATGGCCAAGATTAAAGCCTGAGACCTTCCCAGCAAGGAGAAGCTGCTGCAAACAGCTTCATGAGCTGATGGAAGCGCTGTCCCAGTTGCCATCTGCCAAAGTAACAGATATGACATGCATACTTCCCTAAGTCTAAGTTGTTCATAAGTTTACCACCTGTGTGTTTGCTATCATTAACCAGACTTTAAAAAAAAACCTCACAAAATTCTACCAAGTCAACAAGCATAAGCCCCTGCATCTGTAGTCCCAAAATGTGTGCCACAGATGAGGAGAATCTACAGACTACAAAGCAACAGTGGAAGGAATGGCTATACGCACTGTGGAAGTACATAGGAAAGGCCTAACTATCATGGTGTTAATAATAATAATAATAAAAACCCTAAATGGAGGTTGTACTATTTTTGTGACTTAAGTCCTAGCTGAAATGTACACTAGAAAATCCGCTCAAGTTACATCATTTTGTTTAATGTGCTGGAGGATCAGTCCCAATTACTTTCTTGGCTAATTTCAAAAATAACATCTCTGGAAATTTGTTCTTTACTGAAAACTAATTATCTGGGCCAAAAGCAACCTACATCTGAGTGCCAGTTATTAAGCCAACAGGGGGGCCATGCAGATAGAGCCTGGTAAAGGCATAAGAAATAATAATCCTACTTTGGCCATGCACAATTGAACAGATAAAAATTATTTTTAATTCCCAGTATAAGCCAAATAAAAAGATTTTATCCACTACATTTGGGTAAATTAGACCTTTTTTGCTCTGGGTTGAAAGGACCATAAACTAAATATATAATTTATGTAAATGTAGGCTTATCCTCTACCCTGCCTGCTGAACTGCCTTTCTTCTGGTAGAGGATCCACATTGGCCTTTGATTTAAAACTCTCAGTCTTGCCTGGTTTGCCACTAAAGCCACTAAAATTTTTGATGACATCACTTTATGAATACTTTACACCAACATCAGTTATATTCTTCCTGGCAATAATATCAAGAAAATTGAAGGCTTTTCTCCATCTTCACGTGGTGGGAATTCTACAGGGACTACACCTGAGAGGAGAAAGGATGCACTGTGCAAAAAGAAAGACTGATGTAAAGTATATATAAAATTAAAAAAAATAAAATAGAATACTTAAACATTGATTACTAAGCATATTTTTACATTTATATACTATTGCATATATAGTATATGCTATAAAGATATAATAGTATTTCCTCTTTAAATGAATGGATGTGGTTGTAATAAGCTGTGCTACATTTGGTCATGTGCTATAGTAAGTCTGCTATACTTTTTTATGTATTGCTGGGTTTCTTTCCTAGTTTCTAGGTTTTTACATATAATGTGTAAGTTTAATATGTACAACATAATGATGATATACATACATACATACATATATATATATATATATTGCAAAATGATTAACACAATAAAGTTAGTTAAGGTACTTGTCACCTCATGAAGGTTATATCCATGTCTTCTCTACTGTGACAAATGTGGTTAGTGAACATGGGAGTGTAGACTGTCTGAGATAACTTTTTTCCTTTGGATACACACACACACACACACACACGTCCACAAGTGGGATTTTTGTAACATACAATAGTTCTAGTTTTAATTTTTGAGGAATTGCCACATTGTTTTCCATAGTGGTTGTATTAATTTAATTCCCATTAACAGTGCACAAGTGTTCTGTATTCTCCACATCTTCATCATTACTAATTATTATCACTTGTCTTTCTGATAATAGACATTCTTTAAAAGTAGATTTAAGTTCACAGCAAACTGAAGAGTTAAGTACAGAAACTTCGCATAAACACCATGTCCCTATGTACCCTCCCCAACCTCCCCCACTATTGACATCTCATATCACTCTGGCACTATTTTTTTAAAAATAATATTATAGTTTAATTTACATCATTTTGTGCCCTTTTCCATCTCACTTGTAATCCCCGTGGGCTTCCCATCACTAACACACCCGTTTGTATTACCATAGTCCAGCACAATTCCCCCCTCCTCCCCCACATTTGATCCATTCCCCACTCTACCCCCATAAAATGTCTCTGGTATATAGTTGTTCATTATTATTACTATTTTCTCCCCTGGTCCTTTATACTCCTGTTATGAGTGAAACCATCTGGCATTTTTCTTCTTCCTTCTGGCTTATTTCACTAAGCATGATCCCTTCCAGTTCCATCCATGTTGCTGCAAAAGGTATGAGCTTATCTTTTTTGATTGCTAGGTAATATTCTATTGTATATATGTCTGGCAATTTTTTAATAATCAGTGACTACACTGATACATAATTTTCATTCAAAGTCCATAGTTTATATAAAGTTCACTACTGGTGTTATATATTCCATGGGTTTTGACAAATATATAGTGATATGTGTCCACCACTGAAATATCACAAAGAATATATTATCCTACCTAAAATGTTCTCTATGTTCTATCTATTCACTGCCTTCTCCCCTAACTAAACCCTGGTAATTGGTGATCCCCTTACTCTTTCCAAAATTTTACTTTTTTTAGAATGTCTTATGATTGGAATCATGTATATATCAGCTTTTCAGACTGGTTTGCTTCCAAGTTTTAGCAATTACAAATAAAGCTGCTATAAACATACATGCACATATCTTTGTATAGACATAAGTGTTCAGTTCATCAATGATCACAGTTGCTAGATTATATGGTAATATGTTTAGTTTTATAGGAAACTCTCAAACTGTCTTCCAATGTGGCTGTGCCATTTTGCATTCCTGCAGCAATGATTGAGATTTCCCATTGTTTCACATAACCTGCCAGCATTTAGGTGGTGTTTTAGACTTTTGTCACTCTAGTAGGTATGTAGTAGTTACCTTGTTTTAATTTTAAATTCCCCAATTACACTCATATGATATATGCATATAAATACAGTTATTTATCTATATGTACAAAGAACCTAGCTGTGTAGAGAAGAAACAAATGGATTTTTTCAAAGGGCAGCTAGCACTTTGACATAACTTTTTCTTTCACTGGCATACCACACTGTATGTTTTAGAAGTACAGGTTCATATCTCTTCAATATTATGTTACCATACCATGCCTATCACTAAAGTATAATAGCCCTTCAATTGACATACTTCTAAAACAATAGCCATAGAAGTTATGAATTTTTCTCTGAGCACTGGTTTCTGTTGTGAGTTATTTTCATTATCTTTATTTTCTAGCTGTTCTTTAGTTTTCATTTAAAAAATGTCCAGGGCCCTCCCTGGTGGAGCAGCAGGGTAAAGCACAGCACTAAGAGGCTTAATCCACTTCTGCATAAGTTTGATCCCCGCCTGCCCCGGAGGAGATCCACATGGCGAGGCAGACCTCTCCTGACCCGCCTGCTGCTCCCCTCAGCAGTGTACTTCATCTATCTGCCCGTTCTGCTCCCCGCTCTGTCTCTAGTGAATCCTCTTACCCTCTGAATCTCTGGCCTATACCCCAGTTGTGTATGAATAAATAAAAAAAATTAAAAAAAAAGTCCAAATAGGGCCCTCCCTGGTGGCACAGCGGGTTAAAGCACAACACTAAGAAGCTAAAGCCACTTCAACATGAGTTCGATCCCTGCCTGTCCCAGAGGTGACCCACATGGCACGGCAGAACTCTCCTGACCCACCCGCTGCTCCCCTCAGCAGTGTACTTCATCAGTAGGCTTGTTCTGTTCCCCACTCTGTCTCTGGTGAATCCTCTCACCACCCCTGCACCTCTGGCTTGTACCCCAGTTCTGTATGCATAAATAAATAAATCTTAAAAAAAAAAAGTCCAAATGGTCAAGTCTTTTTTTCTTTTCTAATTTCCAATTCCACTATTAATTTCTAGTTTTATTGCATTATGATCAGTTAATATCTTCTGTTTTACCTCTAAGGGTTATTAGGATTTCCTTGTGAATAATTTTGTAAATATAAAATGGGCACATTAAAAGAAGATGAACTTTCTTTGATTAGTTTCCATTAAATCTTCTATACAAAATATGCTATTCTTTCATTTTGTTCATTTTATTCCTTTAAGTTCCTGTCATAGACTGAAAAGTAAATTAAATTTTATGTATTTGTGCTTTTTCTTGTAATTTCTATAGTTTGATACTGCAGTTCATTAAAGATATACATGCACACAAAAATGACAGATAGAATTTCTAAATATTAGGAACTAAATTCAGTAACATGTAAAATTAATAACATGCATGACCAAATAACTTATTACAGAAATCTAACAAGAAATCTATTATTATGATTCAATGTTAAGAGCTGAAAAGATAAAAAATAAAAAATTCTTATTCCAAGTAATGTGCTGAATGAAAATACAGACATCCAGTTAAGGAAAATGAGTCAAGAATCATTTGATTATTTACCAAGTACCACAGTGCCACAAATTGCCAATGATAAAAAGCCTGGGTTATTTGTATTTAAAACACTTTTCATAACTGTATTACCAAGCTCCCATTTCCCTCTGTACCTGTTTCTTTTAGGAGATTCCAGATGTCTCTGCATTTATGGATCTGCTCAAGTGCACGACTCAGTAACCTGGTCTTATTGGTAACAAAGCAGTGAGAAAATTAGGCTCAATTAAAGAGAATTGTAAACAAGTTAAAGTATTCTCATACTTATTAAAAACAGTTGAAAATAAAAATGATAGAAAAAGAATAAATGTGATGTCTTAGGATTTGTTTAGAAATATTAACTTCCATTAGTACTTTTTCTTGATGTCACAGGAAAATGAAGATTAAATAGAAAAGCTTGAGCATGATCAACTTCTTTAATAACCTAGGACAGAAGAGAAACACTTCCAGAACTGTAGTATGGGAGTTCCATTGACCCTCCCCCCGCAAAACAATTATAACTGGTGAGAAGTATGAAATACAATTGTATAAAGTCTCTAGAAATTATCCTAAGGACATATAGGAAATGAAAAATAAAACACTTATTTCAATAAATCTACTAAGTTTCAATAGGAACAGTGGTAGATGAACCATATCTTTTTACCAACCATCCCTGCTCAGTGTGATGTAAGTACACCTTTAGGTAGGTGTGACCAAGAGGATGAAGCTCCCTCTACTCTCAGCTTGCAGGGTAGGGATTTCCTAAAGTGGCATGTTTCCAGTGTTCTTCATCCCCTACCCCAGGTCTGTATTGGAGCTCTATCACAAATAAGCATAGCTGAGTCTTGGCATACTCTACTCCTACCCAGTTTGCATCTATCTGTAGGGCAAAAGTTCTATATCAGGTATATTAGCAAGTCAACAGCAAGCCCTCACATCAGTCTGCTTACAAGATAGAGCTTCCATGTTAGGAGAGGCAAGTGAAAAATGCTACGAATGACAATTTGTACCCAATCCCTCACTCATAGAACTGAAATGTCACTTTGATAGATCTGGGCCAGTGCCTATACCTCCAGCTCCAAGAGTGGTAGAGTTTCTCTCTAGGACAAGAAGCAGTTCATTAAAAGAGTGAGCTCTGCAGCTCTTCCTAAAGGAAATTACTTTAATTAGAACAGAGTTTGGGGAAATTCAAGTCTAAGGATACTATAAAAGCAGAGATTTTTTTTTGGTAGGAGCAGTTATGAGGAGGCTGATAGGTCAATGATATCAACCAGCTAGATGTTTACATAGAGAACCAGTGCAAAAGAAAGCCAATATGGTCTTTATGCTTTCAAAATACAGCCATATATTATTATATAAGACTGTGGAGCAGTTTATGCCAAAGAGAATTTTCAAATACACACATACACAGCAATCACTTAGTAAACAGTCAAGACTAATTAATATCTGGGTGTGATGCCAATAGAAGACCAACATTCAGAAGTCTAATGAAGATATCAGGGAAACTAATAATAAAAAACCCAGCCCTACTAAACCTATTGCCATCTCTTTGTTGAGAAGGGAGCAGAGTGACTGCACAGGAAAAGACTGAGCTCTGAGGTGTTATGTCAGAAAATGTACCCTATATGGGGAATAGTCTTCACTGAGCTAGACAAGTCATTAAGCAGGTATACAAGAAAATATTAAGATATGAAAGGGAAATCAGTATCTAAAGATGTTCCAATATATTATCTAAAATGTCCAGTTTTCAACAAAAAAAAATTATGAGATCTGAAAGAAAAAAGGAAAGTATAACCACATAGAGGAGAAAAGTAGGCAATAGGAACTGACTTTGAAGGGGCCCAGTAGGCACACATTTCAAAGAAGCCATTTTAAATATGTTCAAACAACTAAAGAATACCACATTAAAGAAAGTTGTGATGGCAATGTGTCATAAAATATAGAATTTTAGTAAGGGGATAGTTTTTTTTTTTAAAAAAAGCACCATTAGGTCCTCCCTGGTGGTGCAGCGGGTTAAAGCACTGCACTGAGAAGCTAAAAAGCCACTTCCGCATGAGTTCAATTCCCGCCTGCCCCGGAGGAGACCACATGGCATGGCAGACCTCTCCTGGCCCGCCTGCTGCTCCCCTCAGCAGTGTACTTCGTTGATCTACCTGTTCTGCTCCCCACTCTGTCTCTGGTGAAGCCTCTCACCACCTGAGCCTCTGGCCTGTACCCCAGTTCTGTATGTACAAATAAATAAATCTTTAAAAAAAAAACCACCATTATTTACAATTGGAAAGACATGGAAACAACCCAAATGCCCAAAAGTAGATGACTGGATTAAAAAGATGTGGTACATATACACAATGGACTATTACTCTGCAACGAAAAATAATAAACATATGCCTTTTGCAGCAACATGGATGGAGCTAGAAAAGATCATGTTTAGTGAAATAAGCCAGAAAGAAAAAGAAAAATACCAGATGGTTTCACTCATAGCAGGAGTATAAAGGACCAGGGGAGAAAATAATAATGAACAACTATATACCAGGGACATTTTATGAGGGTAGAATGGGGAATGGGATCAAAAACGGTAGGGGGAGGGAAGTGTACTAGACTATAGTGATGGCACACAGATGATATGGTGGTGGGAAGCCTACGGGGATTACAACTGAGATGGGAAAAGGCACAAAATGATGTAAGAATAAACTATTATACTATTTTTTAAAACCCCCAAATGGACACTCTGGAGTTGAAAAGTATAACAGTATCAGAAGGATATGAGAGAGAAGGAGCTGAAAATTTTTTTGATAATTATCAAATAGGATGAAAATATTCATCTACACACCCAGAAGTTCAATGAAATTAAAGCAGGATAAATACAAAGAAATCTATTCCTAGACTCAATATATAAAAACAGTAAAAGTTTTGAAAGTAGAATGAGAAAAACTATTCATCATATATATGGGAACCTCATTAATGACTTATTGAAAATAATGGAGGTCAGAAGGCAATGGACTAACACATTCAGTGTGATGAATTTAGAATTGAAAATGAAATAAATTCCCAGATTACAAAGCAACAACTGAACTTGCTGCTAGAGCTTGGACATATAATTCTAGAAGAATCAAATGCAGTAGCATCAAAATATATGATAGCTATGATCTAATCTGAAAACAAATATTGGCAACATCACAGTAGCAGTGGGGGACTTCACATTTTCATCAACAGACAGATGAAACAGAAAAGGGGAGTATGTACATAGTCAAGAGATGACAACTTTTAAACTATTGATGAAAAAATAACTCTTCTGGACAGTAGGGTGTTTGAGTCTGCTTTACTTGTACAGTAGATAAGCAGATGATGACCCATTAAAATCAGGAGGATGTTTGCTGAACTAGGATAAGTGGACAAAACATCCTTACACCCATCTTTTACCTTTTTTAAATTAAGTTTTGTGTATGGTGTGAGAGAGTGGTCTAATTTCATTCTTTTGCATGCAGCTGTCTAGTTTTGACAATGCCAGTTATTGAACAGGCTATCCTTGTTCCAGGGTATGTTCTTAAACCCTTTGCCATATATTAATTGTCCATATAGATGTGGTTTTATTCCTGCGATCTCTACTCCATTGCTCCATGTGTCTGGTTTTGATCCAAGTACTATGCTTGTTTAACTATTATGGCTTTATGATAGAGTTTGGAGTCTGAAAGTGTGATACCTCCTTTTCTTTCTTTCTTTTTTTTGGTCAGGATTGCTATGGCTATTTGGGATCTTCTATGATTCCATGTGAATTTCAGTAGTGTCTGTCACAGTTCCTTAAAAAGTGGTATTGATATTTTTATTGGTATTGAATTGAATTTGTATATTGCTTTAGGTTGGATGGCCATTTTGAAGAGTTTGATTCTTCTAATCCATGAGCGAGGAATACTTTTCCCTTTCGCTGTGTCTTTGATTTCTTTTAACAGTGTCTTATACTTTTCACTGTATGGATCTTCTACCTCTATTGTTAGATTTACTCCTAATATTAAATATTTTTGGTGTGATCATAAATAGGATTGCTTTGTTAATTCCTTCTCTTCTTTGTATATAGAAGGTAACTGATTTTGTACCTTGCCTCTATGTTAAATTGATTGTATCCTATCTGGATTTATGTCTTTCTCTTACCTAATTGCTCTAGCTAGGAATTCCAATACTATATTGTATAGTTGTGATGAGAGTATCTTTTTCTTATCTCAGATATTAGTGAAAAAACTCAGTTTTTCCCCATTGAAAATGATATTAGCTTTGTACTTGTTGTAAAGGACTTTTATTATGTTAAGGTATTTGTTTATCCATTTTTTAAGGGTTTTCATCATAAATGAATGTTGAATCTTATTGTTTTCTCAACACCTACTTATTTGATCATACACTTTTTATCTTTTTGTTGATGTGATGAATTATATTATTTGATTTTCTGATGCTGAACTACTCTCATGTCCCTGGTAGGAAGTCCACTTGGTTTTGGTGTATAATTCCTTTCATCTATTGTTGAAAGATATGCTTTGTTGGTATGTTATTGAGGACTTCTGCATCTGTGTTCATTAAGGAAACTGACCTGTAATTTTCTTTTTTGTGTGTGTTGCCTTTGCTGGGTTTTCATATTAGAGTGTTTGCCTCATAAAATATGTTTAGAAGTGTTCCCTCTTTTTCAGTTTTTTTTTTTTTGAGTAGCCATTTTTTTGTGTTTCTCTTTCCTATTATTTTCTTTTGGGTCTAGCTACTGTGAGTGAAGAATCTTCTAGATATGGTTCATCCCTCCTCACTAGTGAAAGGTCTTACTAGTTTTGACAGACAGCTGGCAGAGTACCCTGAGATGTTATGAGGTCTGGGGCCAATAAAGCATTTCCCTGGCACAAATTCAGGATTTCACTCAACCGGGCTGGCAGCTGGTGGGTCTTCTGGTTGCGGGTTGTAAGATCTAGAACCACTCAAGCACTACACTTATGTGAATTTGAGACCTCACCAATTTGGATGGACTGGCTGGTGGTGTTACTTGGGAGGTCATGAAACCCTAGGTCACTCTAGTATATCCCTTGTGTGAATCTGGGATTCACTTGTCTGGGCTGGTGGCTACCAGTGCTCCCTGGGAGGTCGTGAAGTCTAGGGCCACTCTAGAACTTCCTTAGCATCACTCTAGGACCTCACCAGTCTGGGCAAGTGGGCATGTGGGTTCTCCTGGGAGACTGCAA